GGAGACCTGAAGCTGCTCTTGCAAGTCACTCGAGTTTCTCCATCAGTGCATGCAGCCAAGCACTGAGCTGCAAAAAACAATAGTAGTCCTCTTACCCTAAAGGCCACCTCGCTGACCTGAAGGGAACGATAAAGTTACTTGCAACAATTCCTACACTGCCTGCCGTGACTTAACCAGTATGCAGACACATTACAAAACGCATGAATCGATGAATGCAACAGCACAGAGAACTCAATCAAAAGCCAATCTCCAGCTACAAAATGTTCAAGGATCATAGTGCTCGCAACGAGCACTTTCTAACTTAAAAATAAAATAAAATAAAATAAATTTCCCAATCCACAGCTACATGTCACTATGTTGTTTCAAGAAGATGCAATCACATCTTGCATCACACACCACCAACTCTGGATAATTCTAGTGCATAAGAAAGAGCCAGAAACAGGTACACTTTGTAACCTGTAATTTTTTTTTTAAATGTAACAGAAGTGGCAATAAAGGCACTTATCTCTGCTGTATCATCAGGTCTAACCACAAGAATGGCAAACACCAGTACACGACACAAGTCTAAGCATCTTTCTCAGGTCCATCTGTTCTAACTTCTCAGCCACTTCCTTCGGAAGACACTCAGAAAAGAGTCCCAGCTCAGATTTCCAGCATTTACCTGTTCACAGGGTGGATTCCTGTCTCGGAAGGTGACAGACTGACTGTGCCAGGTCTAAGGAACGTATGCCTGGTAGCACATGTGTCTGTGCATCGTTGGACTCCAGGTTGGTAACTGAGAAGGCAGGACGGGGGGCACCCACGCTCGTGCCCCATTTGCTGGCAAATGGGATGGTCAGGAAAAACCTCAGGAGGACACAATCTGCTATCAAAGGCAGTAGGAGCATTACTACTAGCTCGAATTAAACCACAAAATGTCATACTTTCACACTGAACATCTTTAACAGAAGAAAACTCTCTTTTCCTAGAAGAAATAATAAAAAGCATGATCAAATCAATATTAACTACTCCATGTTTTTATTCCCTTCCTTCCTGGATAGCACAGGGTCTTCTAAGACACATCACTTGTGTGCAAGATGTGATAGCATCTTCTCAAAACAAAATAGTTACATGTAGCTGTGGCTTGGGAAAAACTTCTTCCGATGTTAGAAAGCGCTGGTTGCAAGCCCGTGATCCTTAAGTGGTTTGTAGCTGGAGATTGGCTTTTCGTTGACTTCTCCATGCTGTTGCACTGAATTTCTTCCTATTATCTGGTTAGACAAGACATGTAAATCATTTTTAATTCACTTCACCGTGCATACGCACATTTCTCTCATGTATACAACACACCTCTCCACAGGCCCTTTCTTCTTCCTCCAGATGAACCCCCCCAATTAGAAGATGGACGGGGGAGAAGAGGCTGAGGTTGCTGGGCTGTCGAGCTGCATGGAGCACCGTGGGTGCACCCCTGAAAGGTGCTTCTGTTCCCACTCCCATTCAGTTTACTCAGCCAGTCCTGCTTTATCCTCTCTGAATCGCACTCCTCTTCAGCATCACCATAGTGACTGCATAACTTACCCTCCGTAGGCAGATTTCGGAGAGCCAATGGACAGCTGCGGAAAAGTCTCATGTAAACTGTTTATTGACACAAGCTGACACTTTACTGTACAGAAGGTTGGGATTTGTTTTAATTAAAAAAAAAACCAACAAAACAAAACACCAAACCCTCAGCATAGTGCTCCGGCCTGGACGAGACAGGAAAATGAACCTATTTTTATTTACAGTGCTTCTGCAGGTCACTAAATTAATGGAACATTACTGCACCTACTGAAGCAATTTTTAACTGTGTTTAGGAAACATGTTATTATTAGGAATGCACAAACATCCCACAAAAGTACTCTGGTCACGGCAGGGCTGCAGAGGGCTCTGGCAAGTAGTTTAACATCACAAACCCCTCCCTCTGCCCTCCCCTCCCCCTGAGCAGAGGCAGAGATTTATAATATGCTACCAAGCAGCAGAAATGCAGTTATGGGTGGCTGTCCTGCTTCTGTAAAGTCAACAGCCTTTTTTTTCATAGGATTAAGCAGCCCTCTGGATGAAAAAAAAAAAAAAAAAAGGCCTGAACACTTTGGCATATGGATCACATCAAATATTAAACTGGTCACGGTCAGAAAAAAATTTAAACCTGGTCCTCTGCTAGTGCTAGTGTTTGCAGTGTCCAAGGGAAGCGATGGATGAAATGCCACAAAGAATACACAACACAAAAATACACTTCCAAAACTCTTGCCACTAATCTCAGCAGTGAATAATATAAAGTAGGGAAGCTAATAGAAATACTATATTTAGCATATTCACATCATACATTTTCCTGGGGTTTTTTTATCCACATTTAAAACTATGTCATGCTTTAGTGCCCAAGAAACAAGCGCTAATACCTTCCCAGAGACTAACACATGACATAATGTTTGCAGAGTTCTTCTAAACTGAAAAAGTACTGCCTGACACCTATTAGGAATATTTTCTGACAGACCAACTCTCTCCTAAACTGCAGGACACTCCCCTTCTCCCTGCCTTAAAGCCTTATAAGAATACTAGCACTAATGAGGAGGAGGGTCACAATTAAATTCTTCTTTGTTTATTTGGACAGAGGTATTTTTAATAGCTACTGATGACAGTCATGTCAGGAAGTATAATTCATAATGCAGTCAACCCAAAAAAGCCTCATCTGGGTTCCTCTCCAGAAGTTTTTTAAGATAGACGTGTGGGTAGTCTGGCTTCCTGAAGCAAAAGACTTCAGCTCATATTTATACTGACCAAAAACACAAGAAAAGGAGTGGTGGACCAGAGGAATCTTGTTTACCAAAACATGGAGTAAAACACTGTCCACAATAGTGCATCTCTATTCATGTAACTGGGTGTACTTCATGTTGGAGTTAACATTCACACACAGAAAAACTTAGAAGTTTACATTAATTTGCTATTTAGAGATCTGGATTTGGGCAGTGATATCAAAAAGCTGGGCCATTAAGCTTACAAATGCCAGTAATTTTTAAAGTGATAGAAAATAACATTCTTTCTCTGTGCAGAAGGAGATGGGGAGAAAGAGGATAACCGAATCTGAGCATGAAACAAGGACCTCGTACCTGCCTTCGGGCAGAGCTGCCCAGTGGTGTGATTTACAACTCCAGCCATGCTCACCATTGCACAAACTACTTCTGTGCTCAACTACAGCGAGTTACAGAGTACAGTGCTAAGTTCTCCTCTCCATGTGGCTACCCATACATATAGTCAAGAAAGCAGCTAATCTTTTTTCATAACATTTTCTTGGGGTGGGTGTATTTTCAGGCACCACCAAGCCAGGCAACGCAAGGTTTTGTCTTCAGCTACCTTTTTTCCTTCTTCTCTCACAGACGTAGCAGAGTCTCAGCCCCCAGATAGGGAAAAGTGAGTTAACAGCAAAATGAACAGTTCATATTTAAGAGCCTCAGGCTCCAAAACTTCTGTTCCCTCCTCCCTAGACAGTCATTACTGCTCTCCCAAAGAAAGCTAAGTCCTGTTTGCAGAGAAATCAGTGAGGGTTTCTAGGGCGCTCCACCTCAGAGAAAAAACATTGGGGAAAGTAAGTGTAGACTTCTGTAATGTAACTTTCACTGGGCTCCCACTAAATACCTTAGTCAGCATTTTCCCTAGCACATTTCAGAACTGCTCTTCTTTGCCACAAGTATCAGAACACCTACATCTTTAAAAAAAAAAAGCTTCCTAAAAAGTCCCCCTTCAGCGAGTACTTATTTAAAGCCAGAAAGTGAAAATTTGCTATATTCTTTCTCATCTACAGTATGCTTGAAATACCATCTCTAGAGTTTGCACTAAGGGTGTATACGGTAAGTGCAGGCTAATCATTTCAGCCCCGTGCGGCACATCCTTCTGCATCCGCTCTGGTTGTTTTCCCAAAGCCCTACACCCCGCTGTATGTATGGGAGAGATTTCTGCAGCAACGATTTCAAACACCGGGAGCCTACACGCATAGTTTAGCATCATCAGCTGAACCACTAGAAAATATGAGAAAGGCTCCAGGAATTTGTTTCATTTCAAGTATTACATAAAAAACCCTCTTGATCGCCCCAGTCTCCTCCCTAACAAGGCAAAAGTCATGGGAACTTGATCCTGTGGGATGCTCGTCACCCAAACCCCACCGATTTCCGCAGCGGTTCAAAGCTCTGGGTACCCCACACAAAGCCATCCCCTTTTCATCACTTCTGCTTTAAAGAAAAGGAAAAAAAAAAAAAAAAGGAAAGAAGAAAAGAAAGGGGAAAATAAAGAAAAAGGAAAAGAAAAAAATGAAAGTTGAAAAAGAAAAAAACAGGAAAAGAAAAAATTAAAAAAGAAAAAAGAAAAAGAGCAAAAGAGAAAAGGGGAAAAAGAAGAAAACAAAAAAGAGAGAAAAGAAAAAAGAAGAAAAAGAAAAAAGGAAAAAAGGAAGAAAGGAAGAAAAAGGAAAAAAGAAGAAAAAGAAGAAAAAGAAAAAAGAAGAAAAGACAAAAAAGAAGAAGGAAAAGAAGAAAGAAGAAAAAGAAAAAAGAAAAAGAGAAGAAAAAGAGAAGAAAAAGAGAAGAAAAAGAGAAGAAAAAGAGAAGAAAAAGAGAAG